GCTGCGTATCGGGCAACTCGTTGGAGACACGGTGCAGTGAGTTCACCATGGTTTCAGCGTACCAACGGCGAACTTACACATCGTAGCGGGGTGTGGAACGAGACAGAAGCGTGGCCATTGATGTTCAAATCAGCAAGAGAAACGGGTGTTCTACCTCGTCTGGAAGACGTGCGTCTTGCATCACTCGCACTGTCATCTAAAAACTCACGCATACGTGCAGCGGCCGCAATGGCTCCCCGTAGATATAGCAGGGCGGGCCATCGTCGAAATTATCACACAATCCCAGCAATCCAAAGCAACTGTATGCCACATATTGAATCCTAACCTGGAAAGCGGTTGGGACACAATTCTGTCTGGCCTTCAGTCCGCAGGGTTGCAATTTGATGTTGTTGACCGTGCGGAATGGCTGGATCGTCTCGCGAAATCTGATCCAGATGGCGAACGCAACCCGGCCATCAAGCTACTGGTAGGCGACTCTGCTAATTGTGCCAAAATGACGAACTGAACGACGTCCTGGATAGCCATATTATCGCAATAGGTTCGGTAAACAGACTCAGCGAGCACCAATGGAATTCCGCGTTGATTCAACTAGCAAGGCTGCGCCGAGCATCGCTAGCTCTCCAGCAATTACGGAAGATCTTGTTGCTAAATGGGTCCAACGTTGGCGGGAAGTGGGTTTTTTGGCGTGAAATAGCAGAGCAGTTATAAATAGGCATAATGTGGCAATGACCAATAGATGGCAATTATCATGGAGCTGCAACGAGCTCAGTTGTCTGTCTGTCCTTTGTGTAAGTAAATTCTACAATTTACATACAATCGACGAAGCAAGTAAAAGAGCAGTGTGGGTGTCGTTAGGCACGAAACCCATAATTATTGTGGAAGCTTGGACAACGGAGACTGGATGCAACTGTCAACGGGATACGGGCCGAGGCCAACCACCCTAAGCCGCCTATCCGGTGACGACCGCGCACTGCGGGCGCCTACTATCGACTGTACCATCACTGAACTGGTCGTCTCAGGCATTGACGTCTCTGGCTCACCCGAGTTCATCTTCTCATCCTTGAGCCTAGCTCTCTTACTGTTTCCCCTTTCCAGATAGGTGCACCTGGAGTGCACACTGCTGCCGTGAGACTTCCACTCGTGCGCCGCATTGGAGGTACCAGATCAATTAGTGCATCCAAGTATTCGTAGTCTGCTCTCGTCACAAGATGGTCGGTCGACTGGATAGCTATGTTTTTCTCATTTGTTAACCAAATGCACAGGCACCATCCAAGAAGGCCGGCAAGAAGGTCGCTGCAGCGCCCAAGAAAGCGGGCGGCGCCGCCAAAGTTGCTAAGGTCTGTCGACGCCTCTTGCTTCAGATATTGGTGATGAAAGGTGATTTGGAATATTAGGCCGACTGGAAAGAGGGCTTCAAGAAAAAACAAGTCGGCGTTTCTGATATGACACTATTGACCACGATCACCAATGAGGCGATCAATGAGAACTTGCAGAAGCGATGGGTCAACGGCGAGATTTATACCTATATCGGCTCTGTGTTAATTTCAGTCAATCCATTCAAAGGTAGATCTACGGCCGATTTATCTCGAGGGCGTAAGCTCATGCCCTTTGTTTAGATCTTGGCATCTACACCGACGAAGTGCTTCGGAGGTACAAGGGCAAGAACAGGCTCGAGGTTCCTCCACACGTGTTCAGTATCGCTGAGTCTGCGTACTACAACATGAATGCGTACCACGAAAATCAGTGTGTCATCATATCAGGTGAATCTGGTGCAGGCAAAACGGAGGCTGCGAAACGTATCATGCAGTACATCGCCGCCGTCTCTGGTGGCCAGGACAGTAGCATTCAAGAAATTAAGGACATGGTTCTGGCTACGAATCCTCTCCTAGAAAGTTTCGGTTGTGCGAAAACATTGCGGAACAACAACTCCAGTCGGCATGTGCGTCAACCTCTCTCGTAATGAGTATAGCAACTCACAATTCTCTAGGGTAAATACCTCGAGATCATGTTTAATGATCATGGCGAGCCAATCGGAGCGCAGATCACCAACTATCTTTTAGAGAAAGGCCGCGTAGTTGGACAAGTAGAGAATGAACGTAATTTCCACATATTCTATCAGTTTACGAAAGGTGCATCAGATCAACAACGAGGTGCGTCTGAGGATACTCGCGTGTCGATTGATCTAATATTCTCTCAGAAACTTACGGTCTACAGGGTCCCGAGGCCTATGCATACACGAGTGTGAGCAACTGCCTTGATGTTCAAGGCATCGATGATGTCCATGATTTCAGTGAAACTATTGTAAGGGAATTCATTTCCGGACACGTATCACTCATTATTTTTGTTTAGAGAGCCATGCAAATAATTGGCCTCAGCGATTATGAACAGACTGAGATTTTCCGTATGTTGGCTGCAATTCTTTGGCTGGGCAATGTGCAGTACGAGGAAATGGATGATGGTAACGCTAGAGTCTCCGACACTAGCGTGACCGATTTCGTTGCGTACCTTTTGGAAGTCGATGCCGAACTTGTCCAGAAGGTCATGACGATCAGGGTTATGGAGACCCAGCGTGGCGGAAGAAGGGGATCCATTTATGATGTGCCTCTCAACCCTGCGCAAGCTTCCGCCGGACGTGATGCGCTTTCCAAGGCATTATACAATAATCTGTTTGAATGGATTGTCTCCAAGATTAATGTGTCTATGAAAGCGCGCTCGGCTACTGCACAATTGATCGGTATTCTGGTGCGTTCTCAGCCACGCGCCCACGGAATTTTTAATTGAGCATTTCGCAATAGGATATCTTCGGATTCGAGATATTCGAGGTTAGTACTTCGCGTTGTATGCCGCTCCACCCTACTCATGGCCATTCTAGGACAATTCATTTGAGCAGCTCTGTATCAACTACGTCAATGAGAAACTTCAGCAAATATTCATCGAACTTACGCTCAAGACTGAGCAGGAGGAGTACGTCAGGGAGCAGATCAAATGGACGCCCATCAAGTATTTCAACAACAAGATTGTCTGCGATCTTATCGAGGAGAAGCGTCCACCGGGAGTGTTTGCTGCACTCAATGACGCATGCGCGACGGCACATGCCGACCCCACGGCCGCAGACAACAGCTTTATTCAACGGATGGCCAGTCTTGCGTCAAATCCTCACTTCGAGTCACGCGGTGCACAATTTCTAGTGAAACATTACGCCGGGGACGTGATGTACAACGTTGCCGGAATGACAGACAAGAACAAGGATCTTTTGATCAAAGACTTGCTTGATCTTATTGGAGGAAGTGGCAACCAATTCTTACAGTCCCTCTTCCCGGATCGACCAGATCCTAGCAGCAAGAAAAGACCTCCCACTGCTGGAGACAGGATCAAGGTAGGCAGAGACACGTCTGATGAATATGCCCGAGCTAATCCTCGACAGGCTTCCGCTGGAGCGCTGGTAGAAAATCTCATGCGGGCTCAGCCATCTTATATTCGGACGATCAAGCCGAATCAGAACCGTAGCTCTACTGAATTTGACTCGAAGGCAGTACTGCATCAAGTAAAGTATCTCGGTTTACAGGAGAACATTCGTGTACGTCGCGCTGGATTCGCGTACCGGAACACGTTCGAGAAGATGGTTGAGAGGTTCTACCTTCTATCTCCCGCTACATCGTACGCCGGGGAGTATACATGGCATGGAGACGCCAAGTCCGGCTGCGAGAAGATTCTCACAGACACTGGTATCGCCAGGGAGGAGTGGCAGATGGGTACGACAAAGGCTTTTATAAAAAATCCTGAAACGGTACTATATTTGCTTTGAAATTTGTTTCGAATGTTGACATCACTATAGCTGTTTGCCTTGGAAACTATGCGAGACAGGTATTGGCACAACATGGCTGGTCGCATACAACGAGCCTGGCGCAACTATATGAGATATAAACACGAATGCGCCAGGCGCATTCAACGTTTCTGGAAGAACAACAAGGAGGCGATTGAGTACGCCAAGATCCGAGACTACGGTCATCAAATTCTGGCTAGCAGAAAGGAAAGGCGCAGGTTTAGTCTTCTCAGTTACCGTCGATTTATGGGGGATTATCTGGATATCAACGGCAAGAGTTCACTTGGCGAGGAGCTCCAAGCTGCATGTAGCATTGGTGGTTCGTGTGCCCTCTAGCCTTGCTATTCTAATGACACTAATACTCTTATAGCTGAGAAGGTAACATTCAGCTCAAGGATACAAGTACTAGTATCCAAAACGGGCCGTTCGAGTAAACCAGGCCCTCGTTTCTTTGTCGTCGTGAGTTTCTCACTTTCATAGCGTGCGGAAAACTCCTTGGTGACTCGATAACTACAGACTCCAAAAGCTGTTCACATCGTCATTGCGACAAGTAGGGAGGGCCAGACAGTATATACACTTGAACGGAAGATTCAACTTGTAACCATCAAGAGTATCTCCATGTCAAACTTAAGAGATGATTGGATGGTGTGTGGCTCCCCGTCGTCGTACTCGCCGTGCTCACTCCTCAGTAGGCCCTCAATCTGGGCCCCACCGAAGAGGGCGATCCCCTGATTAGCTGCATCTTCAAAACTGAGTTGGCAACACATCTCCTCAAACTGACGCAAGGTAGCATTAATATCGTCATTGCACCAGCGTAAGCTCCACTGTCATGAAATCCATCTATCGTGTTTATGCGTTCTGCAGAATTGAGTACAACAAGAAGAGAGACAAAAAAGCCCTTGTAAAATTTGTCAAAGATGAAACAGTGCTTAAGAATGATAATTACAAGAGTCATACAGTCCACGTACCTTCAGGAGAACCTCATAATAGTCTGTCCCGTCCTCCTGCGAAGCGCAAAGCGGGTATAGTGCGTCCCATAACTCAAGGAAAACTGTTACGCAAGGGTGGCCCATCAGACGTACGTTTATCCTCACGACGAGATGCATCAATGCTGATACTTTTCGTGCAGAAGCCAGCTGCTTTACGGACCAAATCAGTAGCACAACCGCTTCCCAGCAAGTCATCCGTGGTACTTCCTATGAAGCCTAGTGTGTCGGCCTCATCTAATGACGTCCCGCACCCGCCGCCTCCGCCTCCGCCGCCTGGCCGAACAGCCGTTCCACCGCCTCCGCCACCACCTCCTGAACCCGAGGCGGAAATGTATCGCGCCAAATTCGCCTTTGAGGGCCAAGAAGGTGAGATGAACCTGAAGAAAGATGACGTGGTAGAATTGGTTGAGAAGGACGATAACGGTTGGTGGCTGGTAAAGAAGGGAAAACTCGAAGGTTGGGCACCCAGTAATTATCTCGAATTAGTTCCTCCGAAACCCAAGACTGCGGCTCCCCCGCCTCCGCCTCCGCCGCCAGCAGCTCGTCGGCCCCCTTCGATGCTTTCTGCAGCAGTCTCTACCCCAGCTGCTGCGCCTGCGCCCAAGATAGCCGCGAAATCGGTTGTCGCTGATCCTTCGGCGAAACCTTTTGCCGTTTTCCCTGGGATGATGCCTGCCAACGGCTCTGCCGCTCCTTGGAAGAAGGCGGCTGCCGTTGCGAACGACTCGTCTGCAGACAGCACACCAGCTACTTCACGGCCATCGAGTGCTCTAGCCCACAAAGCTCCTCCGCCTGCGCCCAAGCCGAAGCCTGGTCCGCCCCCAGTTGCGAACAAACCTGGTATACCACCCAAGGTAGGTGGGAAACCACCTATTCCTGTCGCTTCAAGGCCGCCCGCTACTGCCCCACGACCTACTCAGGGTGGACTCTCAAAGCCTGCTACTCCTAGTGGACAGATGGATTTGGCTGCGGCTGTGAGTAGCTGATGTACCTCATCTGGATCAGCTTCTAATATTCTTCTACTTTTGTAGCTAGCAAAGCGTGCGCAGAGACTTGCTGAGGACTGAACTCACAGAAATGCCAAGGTTTATAGAGGTTTGTAAGCTTAGGAGTTATGTATACATCTATTTGATTGTAATCAGAGTGGAACAAGGCTAACGGGTGTAGCGCATGTCTCGCATATATCTTCAGTAAGCGGATCAAGAATATTTTGTGTACGTTCCGCTACAATATGCTCCCTCACCAAAGTAAGCGAGAAATTATGACAATCGGTGTCCTCTCACTGGTCACCACGGTCGCAAATCACCACAATATTCGCAGCAAATTCGCAATGTTGACAAAGGCAATGATACTTTGCATGACCACGACCTAGAAAGCGGACTACCATAAATATTCCTCAATTGGCGACAGAGCGCTGAGCGAGAAAAAGCGTAACGATGACTTACAGCAAGCTCTGTAACAATCTGCGCAGCAGTGATATTCGATGATCTATGGCACTGACTATACTATGAGAGCCTATTACTGGCGTGGCCTTGTAACTGATTTGACGATTCGTTACTCGGTCTTCGCTTTTCCAACACGCTCTATGCAAGGGATCCCGAGGAAACGTTTGATGGCGTAGTTCTGATGGTTGTCCTTGATACAAAGAGTACTAAATGACATGCATAAGCCGCCTATGTTTGCAAATCTGCGCATAATGTGCTCACAAATCTATCGCAAAGTTCAGCACCTTTGGTATCACTGCATAAATGGGGACCACTCACATGTGTTTCCGATCAGCATCAAATATGTTCCAGTAGCCTACAGTCGGTAATTTCGTAATTACTGAGTGAACTCGAAACTCGAATGATGGAGACAGACCGTCAGTACATGCCACCAGGAGTGACCTGTGAACAATGTTAGCTCAGATTGAGGCGAAAGATAGTCGGAGACATACCCTCGAGGAGGAAAGCAACAGGCCAGCCGATACTGTACCTCCATCGCGTGAGAGTATCACAGAAGACATTGTCAAGATTCCAAACAAGGAACCCAAACGCAAAGGTAGCCGCGCCAGAGGAAAATAGCCGTGCCACAACGGATTTGACGTCCTCCGGAACTCGCTTTGCGATTTCTGGACTACGAAGAAGGTGGATAGTGCGTATACCAGTAACAGCGAGCAGAGAAGCAAAGACTGCCTGGTGGTATATGGGATTGCGGTTGATGTAGCTGAAAGGATCATGAACAATAGAACTAACTCTCGGGCCATATGTGGGCAGGGAAAATGACGCACTATGACCAGGTAAAGGCTACGTTGAAAGCCATGAAAGACGCAGCGAGGGGGAGAGCAGGGAAACCGCGCAGCCCAAACCCACGCGCTGTGTCGAAAAGGATGCCGCAGAAGTAGGTGGCAACATATACCATAGGCAGTTCATCTGCCAACTGTGCTTCGAAGAGCAGCGTCGCATGGAAGATGAAACTACCCACCCCAACAAGCGCAAAGCCCTGACACGCCGTTGTGCAGTGTCAGCAAATATAGCCGGGGAAACTGCGTAGAAACGTACCGCATAGCCAACCAGATAACGGGGGGGAAGAGACTGTAGGTGCGATTGGTATGCACCGAATAAAGCTAAGGCGACCGTGAACACATTTGAGAAGGTGTTTGCCGCCTCGGCGATGTATCTTGAGAACTGATAATTGGCCTACGAAGATTGCCACCGAGTCCGCAAAGCCCTTGGCGGTAAGAACAGCAGCAACTTACCTCACACCAATCCAGTGTTGCCGTCACCGGTCCCCAATACTGCACAGAGCGCATCAACGTGGTGAGATTGTCTGCAGACATGCTGGTTAGAAGGTAATTTGTACAAAAAACCGCAGTGGCGATACGCAGCGCACGGCCTGGCGCCCAAAGGCGCTGTTGGTTCCCCTTAGGGAACCTTCCCATATTCATCCCAAAATCCAATTTTCGTCATGGCCTTATAGCTCAGTGGTAGAGCATACGATTGCAGCTTGTGCTTGCCTCAGTCGCTGATATCGTGTTGTCCCGTGTTCGAACCACGGTGGGGCCTCTTGTTTTGCTGCAATTCTTAATAATCGTACAACATTCAAAGCTGCATTGTGCACATATGTGATCAAGTGGCCAATAATTACGCAGTCACTTCAAGGCGATTGTCGCGGACATCAGCGGACATCAGCATCGTCATTGTCGATGCTCGCTGCCAGTCACGGTGGCGCGTGCCATGCTATCGTCCATCCTTTCGCCGAAATATGCAGAGCTAGTGTAATATCTCCTGACACCCAGTTCCGAATATATCTCCTCATCCTCCAAGTCATAGTGTATACTGTACAAGATGAAACGCGTAATCGCTACTTACCAACTCGAGATGGAAGTCCTAGGATTACCTCAGAGTGGCTGTCAGGCCGCACTCAGTCATTTAATGCTGCTGTAAACGAGGAGCGACTAATGTACAAAGAGACGACGGTATCAAAGGATGAGAGTATGATAGCCATGCGACCGCCACGCCACGCCCACCAGAACGAACGGCGTACGAGCGTGACTTGACCATCGAACGATCGTCGACCATTGTGGCCGGGACTGACTGAAGGCGCCTTGAACTCGGACTCGCCGCATCAATTATTTCGAAAGCTAACATTGGCCTCGCACCGAGCCTCCGGGATCATTCAGCTTCTTAGGTCACTGCTCTGTTGTTTCCCGACAACCCCCGCTGTGTCTCGGTCTCTCCAGGAAAACCAGAACTCTGCTATGAACGGTACCACGCAGACGTCTAAACATGGCAGACCGGTTCCGGCTGGCGTTACTCCCCCAGCCCCTGCTACCGCACCGCCAGCACCGCCAGCACATCAAGCTCCAAATAATCGTCAGGTGAATGGCCTTACAACTAATGGCGCACATGCGCCTGTCCAGAAAGGGAAGAAGAAGGCCGTCGAGCAGCCAGTTGATCCGTCTCAAATGTACGAGACCTTGAAGAACCGTATAGCAGCACTGGAGGAGGAGGAAGTGCACGAAGAAGAGGAAGAAAGGAGATTTGGTGAGTGACGGGCTCGACTGCTGGTCACTGCCGACAGTCTCAATTTGGGGTATAGCGGAGGAAGCGCAGGATTCTGTATCAGGGATGAGCGAGAATGCCATACACTCAAAGTACATCGAGCTTGTAGGTGCTCCATAAATGCTAATGTGATCAGAACCCGAGGCAGCGACTCATTCCTGATCAGTTTGCAGAGCTAAAGCGGGTAGAGCGAGACCACGCCAAGGAGAAGCAGAAGCTAGTCAAAGACAAGGATGCAGGTCAGTGTAGTGTCTTGTATCATCGCATCAGCCTGTCATGCTCATTATGCATGATCTACAGCGAAAAGCCAACTAACCAAAGCGAATCAAACGAAAACAAAGATGGAGAACTTGGCTCGGGAGCTCCAGAAGGTGAAACCCAGGCATGGACTCACGTTCTTCTTCACGTTTGACACGCCCTGCAGGACAACAAGAGACTACGGGTAGGTTGCGCTTGGGCTGGACCATCCCAGGTATTCCTTGATTGCTCACAAGTCGCGCACAATGGCAGGAGGACAGTAAACGGCTAGCAGCATGTGTGGAGGAGGCACAGGATGAGGTATGCCATTATATATGCTCCTTCATTTTGATATTTAGGTCACACAGATCTTGCAAATGAAAAACGACATGGCGAAGCGCGCGGAACGGGCGAAGATTCAGGAGAGCAAGTACCGGGAAACACCTGATATCGTCGTCAGGGTGCATTGCAAGTACCGTGCAGAGCTGTATTTCAAAATATCGCGGAAGACCAAACTTTCTAGATTGTTCAACGCTTGGACGGAGCGCATGGAACTGGGTCCTGGGAAGAAGAATGATGCAAAGGGTTCGCTTGGTTCACTGCAGCCAAATGGCATAGCTTTTGCGAATGCCACGAGCACTAGTGCAACATCATCTCTCCTGTCAGGTTCCATGCAGTTTATCTTCACACACGCAGGGCGAAATCTAGAGGCAGACCAAACTCCAGAGGAAGCAGGAATTGAGGATGGAGATGTGATTTTGGCCGTCGAGATCATGGATCTCACTGAGGGACCGGGGACAGAGGAACTGGTCAGTCAAGAACCGTTGGGCGCCACATTTGGTGAGCGATTCATCGATCTCATACAGGACGAACCAGAGCCTCGACGTCAGAAGTTGAAGAAGGAGTGGGTTGAAAATCCTCGAGAGTGAGTTTGTACAATACGCACAATACGTGCACCGTGTCATACCGCTTATTATGTATCAGAGCGAGAAAGACGGTGGAAGAAATATTCGATGGAGTGTAAGTGCCCAGTTCTATATTTATTTTTCCCATTGATCCATTGAAAATCAGTGTTCGTGAACGTCTGAAAGAGGTTCTGCGTCAATACGAGCTCAGAGAGCGACACTTTGAATGTGTCATACGATCCAAAGAGTTGGAGGTCCTCCTATCTCGAGCGCGTGCTGCGGAACAAAAACAACTGGCAGAAGGGGAGAAGACTCGAGGCGATAAGCTTGAGGAAGACGTTGGTTATGCTCGTCTGTGCTCATGACACGATCTTGATTTCGACTGTTGTTCAGACCCACAAGCTGCGAAAAGAGTTGCACGAGGTGACGGAACAGCAGACCAATTTAGTGAACAAGCTGCTGGCATGCTGTCATGAGGTTTGTGCAGATCTCTTTGTACGTGTTAAATCTTAAGTTCTCACGTTTTCGTGTCAGTCGGGCGACGAACGGATACAACGGCTGTTTGGTTCACTTCGAGATGAGCTAGAGACACGTGCGTCTCTAGAGCCTTACATTCTGAAAGATGTTGACATTGCTAGCAGACAGGAAGTCAAATGCTAACGGAAATCCGACACGCCCGCCAGAAACAGAGGTAATCTAACACGAATTATCTGAAAGGGCAAGGACCTAGGATTGTTACATAGCTTGGCCATGTCCTAGCGTGTGTCTGTTCAGAATCTCAAATGCATTACTACCATTTTCATGATCTCAGAGCGAAGAAAAACGCTGCAGATGATAAATTTCGGTTTGACTGGCACTTTGCATGAGCCTTCTCACTCCTTCGAATTGCTCACCATCACTGGATCAAAGTATGCACTCAACGTAAAAGTGCAAACCCCAAAGGTTTGGCAACGAGACTACATGATTACTATTAGATGCAGACCACAATGTTCAATGTCCGAAACTAGCGTCCTTGTGAAGTCATGACAGCTAATGCGAGATTGTAAACTAATGATTCGTACAGTGTCCAGGCAGTCCATGCATTAACCCAGTTCTAAACTAGAGCATCCAACTCCTCCACAGATTCGACCATACCCGAACGGGTGAACTTCTTACCCTTTATCGCCTCAAGACCTTCCCCGTCATAAGTTACCAAGGGAGATAATTCAATCTCGATACCCTGGACCACTATCGCGCCAGCGCGCTCCAAGAATCGCTTGTGCTGCGATAACAAGTCGCGACGGCTTGTCTCCGGATCATCCGAACCAGTTCCAGGCGCATTCTTGAGAGGACTGAATTCCTCATTTCGGACGACCGCCAATACGGCAAAGTGCTTTGTAAAAGGAAAGACGTCGAAAACGAACATCTCGAGCTTCATGCCGTTGGGCTTGCTCGGCTTCACGGTTTGGGCGCTCGCATCAACGTACGGAATCTTCTTGCGTGCGATATGGAACGCTAGCTCCTCCTCGAAATCCTTCGTGCTGTTCAAGAAAGCCGTAGTGTAGAAGTGGTTTACGATATTTCCTAACCGGAACGCCAGTTCTCCGGTCTTCGCGTCGCGTCGCTCTGCCTGTTCCTTTGAAATCTCCGAGTATTCAATGACGCTGAACTTGTCACCCCGACGGGCAACAACACCCACGGACTCAGTTGGGTAGGCCTTCGGGACAACTTTGGCCGCACAATCGGCTTGCTTCTGAATACAGTAGCCCAGGAAGACGGGATCGGCAACTTTGACCAAACAATTGTCGACGCAATAGCTGTGCACGTACTGGACCTTACGCTCGGCTAAGTCTGAGAGAACGGTACGTGGTGATGATGGCGCGAGTGGCTGGCGAAGAGCAGCATAAAGGCCGCCATTGCCGTCAGGAGCGACAGCAACGCGCGAGGGAGTCTCCAGTATCACTTTGCCATCCATGGTAAGGCAAGGCAGGGTTCCTGCAACGGAATGTTTAAGCTAAATGACGTTGTCCATTATTGATACAAGATAGCCTACCTTGTTCAAAGAAGATCACGTTCTTGGACGAAAGCCCAAAGTACGCATTCTTTTTGAAAAACGCTTCGGTTTCCCGACGGGTAGGCCCGCTAGTCATTACATACCAGGGGATGATCACAGAGCTAGCTGCCTTCCCATGTGCCTGCGCCGCAACAGTCTGCAAACGGGCGATGCGTTCCGCTTGATACTGGAAGAGAGACTTGTGGGATGGCAGGCCGATATCGTAACAGCCCTTGGGAGCACTGCTACCGAGTCTCGTACCCTGACCTCCGGCCATAAGGAGAACCCCGACTTGGCCATGTGCAATAGCCCTGAGCCCAACCGCGCGCCATTCCTGCTCCTTGTCGGGAAGCCCAATCACAGTGTCGGCTGCATCCTCCGGCAACGGCTCGATAACATCCCTGCCGACGTTTTCAGCGGCCTCCTTCTCTGAAGAGATGGCCTTTCGATAAACCCTGTTGACACGCTCGATGTCGAGCGCAGTGAGTTGGGCAAGAAGCGCTGAGCGCTCCGCCTCGGAGAGCTTGGGCCAGAATTGTAGCAGATGACCCTGGCCTGCGGATTCGTATCGCTGGCGGATTTGCTCATAAGACATGGTCGATGAGGTGTAATTGAAAGTGATGGAAATGGATAGAGGGAAAGAGCGTCGTGCAGTCGGAGTCGTGGCGAGAGTGTGTTGGCAGCAGCTGGTCGAATTAGCGACCGCTAAATACCATCGGAAGTTGCCGCGAGCAGACCGACAGCACAGCAGCTTGCGACCAGCCTGCGCTCATGTCCAGCTGAAACAGCCCAAGGGCGGTGCTCACGTTCGTCGCGTACGTCCAAAGTGCTACTTACCAGCTGGCGTTCTCATCTTCAAGTCGCTGTGTAGTCGGCACCGGCCATCCCACCCGCTCTGTTACCGACCCCAATCAGGCGTAGCGTTTCAATCGTCATGCATGATGCCGGATGGTGCGTGTTGTCCACCATTCGTCTGTCGCAGACATTCGCACTCCAGCTGGTCCCGATCTGAAGCTTGGTCACGCTGCCCACTCTCAGCATCTCGGCCAGCGTGTACCTTGGATGGCCAGTCATGCAACTCATATTCGGTACTTTATCCTTCCATCGCTGCCGGAGATTTGACGTGTCCGGGACGCGGGCGAGTCTGGAGATGCCCACTGCGTACAGCTCTCATTCGGCTCAGTCTGCATCCATTGAGTGGACTGTAGCTCTCCGCCTGCCTGGCAGGCGTGAGCCTGGGCACGATTCCCCGTATCCAGCTCATTTGCCATGAGTACTGGAGGTATGGCCGGTAGTGTTTCCGGTCAGTGTTGTACACGTACTTATTCCCCTGGCTTATCACGGGCTGACTTATCTCTGCCGTTCTTGATGTCATCAGCTTGAAAGTTGCTCCGAACGGGCTGGCTCGGTCGCGCACTCGCATCGTCATCTCATAGCAAGACGCTTCAGGAATATGTACACATGCCACCTGAAAACGGCCGTTGGGGTCACTGCATGTCAGCGTTCTAGGCTCCGTGCTATCCATGCCTCTCGAGCTACTAGCGAACCAGCGGACGAATCAAACGCTAGAAAAGGTATCTGGTTCGCGCGCTCCAAGAACATAATCCGGAAAGCGTGTTCTTCAGTGATTGTTTCTGTTCGAGGCGCTCTGTCTATTTATTACCATCTAAAGCCGCTGTTGGCGATGCTGGGCTGATGATGGGATCCGGTCAGAATCTGCTACAACGGGCAAGCGTCTGGGCTTCCCGAGTTGAAGAAATGTCCGATCGCGAGTAAACACACGTGGAAGTTGAGTTCCTGGGTCGTAAGTTTTGGCCGGCCTTGACCAATCCTAATCCCCCGGCCCCGTGGTTCTCCACTTTGGGAATCTATAAAGCTGGCTGTCTTTCTCCTTCATCGCCGTGGTCATAGTGGCCATGTCCTCTCTCAGACGACTCGCTGTGGTTATCTGCCTCTTAGGTCTCCCCCTTCGTGCGATGGGCGATGATCCTATATACCCAACCTTCGCGTATGGCACAGATACCGTCCGTGGTGTCAACCTTGGGGGCTGGTTTGTCCTGGAGGTGCGGGCTATGCCTTATGTTTGCCTGATCGAACCACCGAACCATTGTTGTAAAATAGCCGTGGATCACACCGAGCTTGTTCGATAATACGGGAAACGACAACATCG